GACTGGTCTTGGTGAAACTGCGCATAGCAGATTCTGGGGTGTATATATGTACCCTGGAGTTAAAACGGACGTCCTTTATGGTGTATAAATTATGTCAATGGTCCTCAAGTAGTTAAAGTCTATGCCAGGGCAAAAAACCCATGCAGTATATCTCTGCAATACATGCCATTCCCCTATGACCCTGCCAGAAATCCAGTGAGCTCCTAACTTTCTGTTAGTGACTGACAACAGTGCCTCTGCAGCACTGAAAACCTAGGCAGTGTTGTACTCCTTGCCCAAGATACCCCAGCTGGACTACAGAATTACCCACTTTTTTTTACTCCCACACTTGCAAGGACGGAGACATTTTAATACACATAGCTAACTTTGGGTCAAATAAGGGCTCTGGAAGTAGCTTCTGGTGAGTATCAGCTGTCAGTTGGACATGGGGCCAGATCTGACCAATAAAAGACCGATACAAGATAATTATATTATATAATGTTTTTAATATACAGTGAGTATATAAAATAATCGCCCCCCCCTGAACTTGAACTGTTCAAGTTTGTTTAAATTTGATGGTGACCATTTGTGTACTGCAGTCTCCAAAATCATTCCACAAAATTTTCAATGGGGTTTAAGTCTGGGCTCTGACTAGGCCATGCGAGGACATTCACCTTTTTCTCCTTCAAACCACTGTGTGGTCATTTTTGCTGTGTTTTTGATCATTGTCATGTTGGAAGATAAACCTTCTTCCCATTGACAACTTTCTGGCAGAGGGCAGCAGATTTTCCGCAAGTATTTTGCCCCATCATTTTTTCCTTTTATCCTGACAAGTGCTCCTACTGCAGAGAAAAACAGCCCCATAACAGGATATTAACAGTTCCATGCTTTACTGTAGGAATGGTGCTATTTGGATGGTGAGCTGTATTGGATTTCCGTCAGACATTTCGTTTGGTGTTGAGGCCAAATAATTCAATTTAGTCTCATCTGACCATAACACCTTTTTCCACTTGGCCTCAGAATCTTCAAGGTGCATTTTGGAAAAGCTCATGACTGCATTTGGCCTTTCTTGAGGAGTGTCTATTTTCTTGCAACCCTCCCATACAAGCCACATTTGTGGAGAATTTGTGATATTGTTGTCACATGCAGACAATGATCACTCTTTGTCATAAATTCCTGCAACTGCTTCAGAGTTGCTGTAGGGCTCTCGGTAGCCTCTCTGACCAGTTTCCACCTGGCTCTTTTATCCATTTTGGAGCAACGTCCTGATCCAGGGAGGGTCTATGTTGTACCAAATACCTTTCACTTCTTAATAATAGACTTCACTGTGCTTTGATAAAGGCTTTGAAATGTTTTTGTATCCATCTCCTGACTAGTGCCTGTCCACAACTTTATCCCGGAGATCTTTTGATAGTGCCTTGCCACCCATAGTTGATTGTTTGCATTAGTTGCACTATCAGGGACTGAAATATTCCAGGAAAGCTCTTTTCATGTTTAGCTAGTCAAAATTACCCAAAGAAAAAACAGCGCTGTAGTGGTAGTAATTATTACCACCACAGCGCTGTTTTTTCTATGGAGCTTCTGGATTCATCTATCTGATAACAGCAGCAGTGGTAATTCTCCTGGGTAATGTACAATTAACTGTGATCCTTACGGTACTGGGCCTGCTCTTGCTCTTCAGAATATTGGATTTACTAGTCAAAATGACCACAGTTGTTTACAGCTATGTATGCTATTGAGAAGGTGATTGAGTTTACAAGTAATTTTTAGGCTCCATGCACACTGGGCGTTTTAATAACACAGGTAGCATTAGCTGTGTAAAGTCATGTCATGTTTTGCATTAGCATTTAGCCATGTTTCTCTGCGTTTGTGTTTATTTTTACACACACACAAAAATTTTGTGCTCCAAAAAAGTCCAAAAATGCCTGTTTGCCACGTTTTTCAGCGTTAGAGCGTTTTTACAGCTAAAAGACTTTTGCCAGCCAAAAAATGCCCCTGCAAAAAAATGTTGATTAAAACATATGTGTGCATAGATACATAGGATACCATGCTGGGGAGTTTACTAGCTGTAGAAAAAAACGCCAAAGCCAAAAACAGCAGCTGTAAAAACGTCCAGTGTGCATGAGGACTCAGGGGGGGCGTGATCCTTTTTCCAACTTGGTGATTCTGTTTTTGAATTTTTATTATTTTATTTCTGACATGTTGATGGCAGTTTTTGTTTTATCCAGCTGTATTTACTCTTTAAATCTTTCACTTGGATGTTATAAGTTGAGTAAATACAGCTGGATAAAACAAAAACTGTGTTCGTCTTCATTTCAGGCTGCAATGCAACAAAATGTGATTATTTTAAAGGGGGGTGATTCTTTTCTATACCCACTGTAGGTACCTCAGACTTCAAGACTTTAGTGCTAAATTATTTGCAAACACTGGATTCTGACCTTTTAAATAGAAGAAAACAGCCCCCTGCTATCTGAAAATACCTGACAAACTAAAAATAAGAACAAGAATAAAGAGTTTGAAAAAAATACCTCCCCCACCTTTCTGGCTAGTCCCCTGCCACCAGGAAATGTGACACATATTGCTTTGCATTGTTTGACAACCAGTCCTCGAAGGTCGCCTCTTGTTAAAGGAGGATGAACGCAAGCTCTGATCTGACCTGAATTCATTCTCCTTGAGCTGCTTTAAACATCACAGGACCCCCCTTTCCACTCAATTACTCGGGTCCATTGTCAGCACAGTTGCTAAGCAGGTTTAGCTCTTCAGAGTGGGCGGCCTGTAATTAGTACTAAGTATCTCATACAACCAGTAATTATCCAGTGAGCAGAGCTGGCATTAGTGAATGACTCTGTACCCACAGATTTTTATAACCCCTGCACTGCTGGGAGGGGTCCTGTGAGAGGCTTCCTCTGTGAGCAGCATGTTGGTGGAAGATGAGGCCCTTTAACTGTCACCACACAACAGCTGAGTGAGTCTACTACATCTAGGTCATGATAACATGATTTGATTACTTGGGTGCATTGTATTTTGGTGGCAAAATCTTTGTCCTTGTACATGGCTAGGTTTGTGGCTGTTACACTGGGATTAGGGTAAGAGTTGCTGATCAAAGAGCATCATTCAGACATGAACATTTGAAAGAATATTGATCCCAATGCTTAAGTGTTTATATTGTTGCAGTCTTACTGCTCAAGGCTGCTGTTTGTGCTGTTATTCACTTGTATTCTCCCCCAGTCACGGCAGCAATGTCAGTTCAGTGTTGAACTGTAAGACACCCATGAAGGCTATCCTGTTCCCTGCCTGAGCTCAAGGCTATTAACACGCTCTATGTCTTAGCTTCTGTAGAAGTACAAAGCAGGTCTTAAAAAAAACCCTGCCCTCACATCATTTAATTAAAAATCACATTTTCCATATCTTATGTCCAGTTACCAGTCATACTGCAAGCCCTGATCCCTACACCTTGGTTTCACTTACTGTACCCTCTCCCATAGTCAGGTACAGCATTGTCATTAGAGAAAAAAACATATAAATATGTGAGTACATAGGATAGTCATTGACACTCATTTGAAGTTTATGCTCCGACAGGAATATAATATAAAATCATTTAAAAATGTCATGTCCATGACAGGTAAGCATGAACTGTCTGAATAACTCAAGAGTGGATATTCATATTATGACAAATTCTCATTGGTAACTGTTTCTCTTTAATAGAAGGGTTGCAAATTAAGTTTAGCTTGATGTGTAATGTTAGAATTAGACATTTGTGTTAGCTTGATGTGTAGTGTTCGTATTCGGTGTCTCAGTTAGTATGATGTGTAGTGTTGGTATTGGGTGATTTGGTTAGCTTGATGAGTAGGGTTAGTTTTAGGGGGTTAGGTTGGGTTGACGGGTAGGAGTTAGTGCGAATGACTTAGTGTTCAGTTTTCAGTGAAGATAATCCCTGCATCGAAACATTGTTGCAAAATTTCATGTGCTGAAGACATTAGCACCAAGGGTCCAAGAACATTTTACAAAGCAGAAGCAAGGCTAGCTTAAAGGAGTAATTAAGCAGACATTATTTAAATCATACGTTTGGGGCATAAATATAAGAGAACACCACCATGAAAGCAAAACATGTTACATATTAAAATGGAAGCTAGAAAGATGTCTTTGAGAATCCTCCTCCCACAATGTCAGACAGTTTTGATGTTTAGGCCTCTTGCACACTGCTGCCTGAAAATGCTTAGTTTTTAGACATACAGGTGTTTTTTATTTACTGATCTAAATTCAACCCATTGTTTTTAATATGCCTGTACACACGGACATGTAAATAAGCACTACATATTGATCAGTTTAAAAATAAAAAATACAGAAATCTGAGTTGATGGTCATGCTCAAATATGCAAATGCCACACTTCCTGTTTGTAAATGTGAGAAAATATGCGTAAATATGCGCAAGTGATATACAGGCCATCCTAATATTTTATTTCTACCAGGAATGTCTGACGCTCAAACATCAGTATAGTGTGCAACAGGCCTTATAGACTTAATATTAATTTACCTCCAAAACAGTAGAGCTTGTCATACAGTATTAGCATTTATTTTTAGATATACCGAGACCCCTTGATTAAATATGGCTACTCCATAGGCAACATCCATACAAGGATAACGTTCACCTTCTTTACACATAGACACACCTACCACACCAATGCGAGGCATAGCACAGTCCATGTTTCGGGTTGCTCTGTGATTGGAAGAAGCATCTGTCGATATTGAATCCAGCATTACAGGCCGTGCTAGGATTGGTCAGTGCGGCTGCCTATTTCCAGCTGAATGCAGAGTGCCAGGCTGTGCTGTGATTGGACATAGTAACTGTCTATCACCCTAAGTGTGAACACAGCGTTCTATTCTGTGCAGTGATTGGACCTTGCAACTATTTATCATTGACTGTGTGAGTGAATTTAACATGCCTGACTGTTACGTGATTGGACAAAGCAGCTGTCAATTAAAAAGCGTCATTGGCTGCAGCTGTTCAGCAATATTCTTACCTAAATTTAGACTTGGAAATTCTGTGCCTGAAAGACATAAAGAAGAAAAATAGAAAATGATGCTGAGTCACAGCTGCCATTATTCCTCACAATTACTGCTTTCTCCGAGCACTGCCGCCGCCTGCATCTTTCACGCCAGCCGTGGTAACGTGAGATGATGGCACCAGCAGGAGGTGAGCAGAGGGCTTCACACGCGCTGTATGCTGCAGGCACGTGGCTACGATGCATACATTACTTTTATAGTGTATCCATGCATGGTGCGCTAACCCGTGGTGCTGTGGTGGCACTACAAGTCCTAATGTGCTGCAAGAGAAGCTGTATTTCTGGACTAAACACAGAGCTGCAGAGGAGGAGGGTAGGGTAGAGACAACAGTGTATGTTTTTTTCATATTATTAAAGATTACCTTTCCAATTCTACCTGCAAACAAAAATTCAAATTTGCAACCATAGCAACAGTGCTTTATAGACAATGCAGTTCTCATTCCCTTACTCCTGTAATCAGCTCAGAGACAAAGTTGCAGGCATTCTCAGCACTCTCTTTAGATTTATAGCAATGACTGTTTTAACTCTGATGTGACAACAGAGTTGTGGGTGGGGGGTGCTGGAGACAATCATGTGATCACAACAAAGGCAGACCATCCTACATAGTGTTAACCTTCAACAACAGCTCTAGAATGGCCTGTGTCAAAATCTAAAGAGCTGAAGAAGGTAAGAATCTGCAATAAAGCTTACAAGAACAATTGTAGTGTATACATTTTTTTTCTCACTGTAACATACATTTAATTTAAAGGCCTACTGTACTTGGTATTTCTCCCTATCCTGTTACCATGGCATCACTAGCAGAATAGCCTGTGGAGAGTTTGTATATCAGACTCCACTGTTGTTTAGCATCTGAGTGTGATGATCGCGGCATCAGACCCTTCTCACCAACTCATGACCGAAGGACTAGCCAATCTAAAACTGCGCTGTCATGTGTGTAACAATGCCACGCTCAGCTGCACCCTGCACAAAGATTTTCCAGCTAATGGACCACAATCTATGTACCTGCAGCCTGAGAGCGATTGTTACTGGGTCAGGTTAATTACGCAATTAACCCTTCACACTGCCACCACCGCCTTTTTGTAGAGAAAAAGAGGAAACTCGCCAATATTAGCAATAACACTATGATGTTTGAATAATCGTCTGTATACTACTGTCACTGCAGGCAGAGGTATATAGAGGGTTAAAACACACAGTAGCGTTCTTAAAAGACAGGGATTCTTAGTTTGCATTAAAGAGCTTTAGAAACAGTTCAACACTTTTCAGATAATAGGATTTATTACTAAAAAGGTCACAATGGTGCAATAAAAGTATTTACAGAAAAAGATGTAGCAATATATATATATATATATATATATATATATATATATATATATATATATATATATATATCAATACAGAGAGCAATAACACAGCAAAGAGATAACAGAATGAAGTTTAGGGAGGTAGAGTACTTGCCAAAAGTCCTGGGTTAAGCAGATTCCAGTGTCCTGAGCAAAAGGGTGCCTTGTCTCCCAAAGTTGGCTCCAATGTTAAAAAGGGAGAATTCTTCAACTTCAACTCCAAGCATAACAGCCTTTTTTTCTAGGAACTCAGCAGGGTGTCTCCTTAAAGCAGAGAACCAATCGCCTCATTTGGGGAGGGGTGTTGTAGGCGGGGGGACTCAGGCTAGAACCAAAATCCCTCCCAAGTTATACCAGAGCAATAACCTTCCCTAGGTACTGTAACATTCTATCCACAGGTAGATTAATATGCAGAATCATCTGCTGAACGTTTAGATATCAAAAATGCCATAATTTACTATTCCAGCTAGAACTATATGGCTTTCTGCACTCCCATACACTTCCACGAGGGATGTAAGATATCAGACGACTTGCATTAAACTGAGCTATCCGAATATATGCTTTATGTTTATGTAATTATTTCCTACCTTAAGATATAAAATTATATGGAAAAGTGGGTTTTAAATGTGAGGTCTGTTTTACGGCTAGCTGGAATGTCTTTGAAGCCCAGTGAAGGACTGGTTTATGGTTTTACGATTATCTCAGATTGAGAAGCTAACAGACACCCGGGCACCAGCTAATTTGGGTTTTTATAACCATAAACGTTCTCCAGCTGGGGCTTGATGCCTTTTGAACTCAGTATACACACACAGACCACATTCCTGAGGAGGGGGATTGGAGGGAGAGAGAGATACAAGATGGAGGGTCTTGAGCAAGATGGATGACCGCGTCCATCTCTGTACGTACGATTGCTACACTGAGAACTTTACTTTTCCCATAAGTTAAAGCCTTTGAGGCTTTGTCCCGTTAAGGGCTGACACCTTTGAGGAGAGGGGGGGGAGAGGATGTACCCAAATTTGACAGGTACCCGCTTCCACTTCCACTGCCAATCGCCTAGGCCAGTGGTTCTCAACCTTTCTAATGCCGCGACCCCCTAATACAGTTCCTCATGTTGTGGTGACCCCCACAACCATAAAATTATTTTCGTTACTACTTCATAACTGTAGGAGTTTTGCCACGTGGGAGGAATAGTGTCCCATCACTGATGTCAATGGGAGGAATAGTACCCCATCATTGGTATCAGTGGTAGGAATAGTGCCCCATCATTGGTGTCAGTGGAAGTGATGGGGTGTCAGTGGGAGGAATAGTGCCCCATCATAGGTTGGTGTCAGTGGGAGGGAATAGTGCCCCATCATAGGTGTCAGTGGGAGGAATAGTGCCCCATCATTGGGTGTCAGTGGGAGGAATAGTGCCCCCCATCATTGGTGTCAGTGGGAGGAATAGTGCCCATCATTTGGTGTCAGTGGGGGAATAGTGCCCCATCATTGGTGTCAGTGGGGGGAATAGGCCCCATCAGTGGTGTAGTGCCCCATCCTTGGTGTCAAGTGGGAGGACCCATTAGTGCCCCATGGGACAATAGTTGTCATTGTGGGGGGAATAGTGCCCCATCATTGGTGTCAGTGGGAGTAATAGTGCCCCACATTGTATCATGTGGACATATGTCATTGTGTTTCAGGGGGGAATAGTGCCCCATCAATTGTGTCAGTGGGGGAATAGTGTGTCCATGGATCATAGTGCCCCATCATAGCTGTCAGTGGGAGGAATAGTGTACCCATCATTGGTATCAGTGGGAGGAATAGTGCCCCATCATTGGTATCAGTGGGAGGATTGGTGTACATAGTCATAGTGCCCCACCATTACACATGGTTTCAGTGGGAGGAAGAGTCCCCCCCCATTATGGTGTCATTAGTGCCCCAACACTGAGGTGTCAGTGGGAGGAATAGTCCCCCATTGTGCATTGGGAGGTGCCCCTATCATTGGTATCAGTGGGAGGAATAGTGCCCCATCATTGGTTTTGGAATATACCAGTGGGAGGAATAGTGCCCCCCCCATCATTGGTGTCAGTGGGAAGGAATCAGTGGAGGAATAGTGCCCCCATCTTTGGTGTCAGTGGAGGAAAGTGTCAAGTGGGAAGAAGTGAATAGTGCCCCAAACATAGCTGATCAGTGGGGGGGCCCCATCGTTCGGTAATCAGTGGGAGGAAGTATGCCCCATCCTTTGGTGTCAAGTGTGGGAGGAATATTGGTGCCCATTGGTCATTGGTGCCCCATTGTGGGGGGAATAGTGCCCCCATCATTGGTGTCAGTGGGACAGTAAAAGTGCCCCATCATTCAGGGGGAGCACACACCCAGTCAGGGGGGAATAGTGCCCCATCGTGGTTTTTTAAAAAAACCCCCCCCCACCCCCCCCATCGTTGGTGTCAGTGGGTGGTCGGAATACTACTCTCACATCATCTCTCTCAAGGGAGGAATAGTGCCCCCATCATTGGTGTCAGTGGGGAGGAATCAGTGGGGGAATATTGCCCCATCACCTGGTGTCATGGTGTCAGTGGGAGGAATAGTGTCCCATCTCTGATGTACAGTGGGAGCCCCATCATTGGTGTCAGGAAATAGTGCCCCTAATCCCCAACTGGTGTCATTGGAACCCTATATCTCTGATGTCAGTGAGGGAGGAATGGGAGGACTTAGTGCCCCATCATTGGTAATCAGTAGGGAGGAAAGAGCGCCCCACATTTGGTATAGTCCCCCCCATCATTGGTGTCTGATATGGGAAGACGTATTCAGGGGATAACGAATAGTGCCCCATCATTGGTATTAGTCTGTGGGAGGAATAGTGCCCCCCTGGGAGGGAATTGTGTGTGTCAGTGGGGGTGCGGAATAGTGCCCCAATTGTGACCAGTGGGAGGAATAGTGCCCCAATCCCATATTTACTCCCATTAGGTATCAGTGGTTGGGAGGAATAGTGCCCCCTATGGTGTCATTGGCCTGTCAGTGGTGAGGTAGTAATAGTGCCCCCCATCTATTGGAAATTGTCCTCAAGTGTCAGATGGGAGGAATAGTGCCCCATCATCGTCATTGGTATCAGTCACGGTGGGAGCAATTAGTGTCCCCCTGATGTCAGTCCCCATTAGTTGGTATCAGTGGGAGGAAATAGTAAGTGCCCCCATCGTTAGATGCCCCCCAACGTTGGTGTCAGTGGGAGGGAGATTGCCCCCCCAGAGGGAGTGAATAGTGTCCCCATCCGTTGGAGTATTAGGGTGCCCCCATCGTTGACAGGAGGAATAGTGCCCCCATCATATGTGTATCAGTGGGAGGAATTAGTGCCCCCCCATCATTGGTATTCAGTGGGAGGAATAGTGCCCCATCATTGGTGTCAGTGGGAGGAAATTAGTGCCCCCATCATTGGGTGTCAGTGGGAGAGGAATGTGCCCCATCGTTGATATCAGGTGGGAGCAATTGTGCCCCATCGTTGGTATCAGTGGGAGGAATAGTGCCCCATCGTTGGGTATCAGTGGGAGGAATAGTGCCACAACGTTGGTGTCAGTGGGGGGAGGAATAGTGCCCCATCATTGGTGTCAGTGGGTGGAATAGTGCCCCATCATTGGTGTCAGTGGGAAGGGGAGGAGATAGTGCCCCATCGTTTTGGTGGTCAGAGGGGTGGAGGAATAGTGCCCCAATCATAGGTGTCAGTGGGGGGAATAGTGCCCCATCATTTGGTGTCAGTGAGGAGGAGAATAGTGCCCCATTCATTGGTGGTCAGCTGGGGGGGAATAGTGCCCCTCATTGGTGTCCAGTGGGAGTAATAGTGCCCATCATTGGTGTCTGTGGGGGGAATAGTGCCCCATCAATGTGTGTCAGTGGGGGGAATAGTGCCCCATCATTGGTTGTTGTCAGTGGGAGGAATTTGTGCCCCATCACTGGTGTCACAGTGGGGAGGAATAGTGTCCCATCACTGATGTCTGTGGGAGGAAAAGTGCCCCATCATTATGGTATCAGTGGGGAGGAATAGTGCCCCATCACTTGGTATCAGTGGGGAATAGTGCCCCCATCATTGTAGTGGGAGGAATAGTGCCCCATCATTGGTGCTCAGTGGGAGGAATAGTGCCCCATCATTGGTGATCAGTGGGAGGAATAGTGCCCCATCGGTTGTATCAGTAGTGGAGGAATAGTGCCCCATCGTTGGTATCAGTGGGAGGAATAGTGCCCCATCGTTGGTAACAGGGGGACGGAATAGTGCCCCATCATTGGTGTCAGTGGGGGGAGGAATAGTGCCCCCATCATGGTTGACAGTTGGTAGGAAATAGTGCCCCATCAGTGGTACAGTGGGAGGAATAGGGCACCCATCAGTTGGTGTCAGTGGGGAAAGGAATAGTGCCCCATCATCGTGTTGGGAGGTAGTGTCCTATCATTGTGTCAGTGGGAGGAATAGTGCCCCATCGTTGGTGTGTCAGTTGGGGGGAGGAATAGTGCCCATCGTTGGTGTCAGTGGGGGGAGGAATAGTGCCCATTGTTTATCAGGTTGGTGTCCGTTGGTGTCAGGGGAGGAATAGTGCCCCATCGTTGGTGTCAGTGGGGGGAAAGGAATAGTGCCCCATCGTTGGTGGTCAGTGGGGGGAGGAATAGTGCCCCATCGTTGGTGTCAGGTGGGGGGAGGAATAGTGCCCCATCGTTGGTGTCAGTGGGGGGGAGGAATAGTGCCCCATCGTTGGTGTCAGTGGGGGAGGAATAGTGCCCCATCGTTGGTGTCAGTAGGGGGAGGAATAGTGCCCCCATCGTTGTGTCAGTGATGGGGGAGGAATAGTGCCCAATGAATCTTTGGTGACCCCATAGCCTGGGAGCTAAGTGACACCATATGTACAGACACTTACGGGGGCACGTATTCCTTCTCCTCAATGACACCATTGATACTTACCTTGCTGTAAACCCCTGCTCCAGCCTGATGGGCTCGCACGCTCCCTCCCTCTCCCATAGTCCCCCGACTAGACACCCTGATCCCCTGCTCCAGATCCTGGGCCCGCTCGCTTCCTCCCGGCCGCTCTCCGGTCAGATGTCTCTCGCACCTCACAGACACGTCACTCTTCGATCGTAGGTGTTCGTGGCCGCTCGGCTCCTCCTCTCCAAGCTCCACCTCCTCGCCGGTGATTGGCCGCCTGTGTGCCTCTCCTGAGCTACAGTTCCGGCGGCCAATCACTGGCGAAGGATTGATCCCGGGGGTGTGTCCAGATGACAGGGACGGCATTGTCATCCCGCCCACACCTGGAGACGGATAGAGGAGCGGATTGTGCGAGCGTGTCTCGGTTCCTAAGGCCATCGGAAAAATATGTGTTTTTCCGATGGTCTTAGGCGACCCCTTTTGTGAATGTGTCGTTCGACCCCCAAAGGGGGGGGGGTCGCGACCCCCAGGTTGAGAACCGCTGGCCTAGGCGATCGGAAGTGGAAGTTGTCCTCCCCCCTCCCTCCCCCTAGTCTTCTGGGGACATGTGACATGGTCCCAGAAGACCTACGGGACCATTCACACAAGCACAGTGCTACTCGCCCATGTACAGTGGGCACCCGGCTGTGAAGCCACAAGCTGTCACAGCTGGGTGTCCACAATGAAGATGCCTGAGCCGGTGCCGAGGAAGAGAACGGTCAGTCAACCTGGCCAGTGTAAAGACACTGCAGGATCGAGGGACAGGTAAGTGTCCATTTTTTAAAAGTCATCAGCAACAGTTTTTGTAGCTGCTGACTTTTATTTTTTTTAATTCTGACCGGACTCCACTTTAAAGAAGAACTAAAGTAATGTTTCTCACATTAAGTGTTAATAAAGATGGAGTTTTTTGGAGGGGAGGGTTATAACCTCTTTTTTTGCCATCTGTGCCCCATTGGGGAAATCTTCCTTCACTATCTGTCCCATAAACCAAAACAGGAAGTGAAGGAAATCCCTGGTTGTCACCAGGGTCACAAGAACTAGTGTCCCCCTCTCTGGTAACAGCCCAAAATGTGGGTTTTTTTTCACCTTCATTCTGATGATGAAAACAGTCACCAGGACAAATAAAGAGGGTGAAATACCCCTAACAGAGACAAAGCCAGCTATAAAAACTTGACAGGTGTTCTACTCCCTCTCCAAAAAACAGTTTTGTAACTTTAGTTATACTTGAATCACTCTGACTCAAAATGCTAAATTGGGCATTGTTAAAATAGTCTTTCTTACTTGTGCATATCCTCAATCCATCCCTGTAGCTGCAGCTACTGTTCTTTCCATTTCTTCATAACTGCCTGCAGGAGGAGTGACACATCAGCTTCCTGCTGATTTCAACAGTGAAAGAACACATCCCTAAGCACCCTTTTACATGTGCATGTTCAAGTGAGGGAGCTGGCCACTGGAAGGTAGCTATGCAGTCTGCCCATCAGTTGGTTAATTAATTACATTTGTCATACCTGCTTTAGGAACAGTGATCAAGCAACTGACTATCTCATCACATCATAGCAAAAATCTACACCATCCAGTGGCAAGCAGGGAGGAACATTCTCATCTAAATGCTGGGGATGTGTTCTTTCACTCCGACTCTTTAGCGATCCCTCATCACTTACACTTTCTGCACTCTGCAGGTGAATGGGGGTGTCTAGAAAAATAAATATTGAGAGAGTAGAATAAATTGTAGACAGAGTCATATGATGACGTTGAACTGCACTGGTGACAGTATGTAAAAAAAAGATTGTGAAAAAAACCCCAAATTTTATTTAATTTTTTCATTTTCCAAAGAAAGGTGACAAAAAAATGACAACTTCAAAAAATTTCACCATGTCTCTTACTCAATACCATGGTCTGTCTACTTTCCAAAAAGGGGTAATTTGGGGGATATTTTACTGTCCTGGCATTTTAAGGGCCTCAAGAAATGAGATAGGCTGTCAGTACATCAGGATTGATCAAATTTCAAATATACAGTATATACCATAGTTTGTACACTCTACAACTTTCACACAGACTAAATAATATACACTGATTTGTGTTATTTTACCAAACAAATGTGGTAAAATACATTTTGGCCTAAATTTATGAAGAAAGATTATTTGCAAAATTTAAAAACAGAAACTATGAAAAACATGTTTTTTTTCACAATTTTCTGTATTTGTTTCGTTTATATAATACAAAATAAAAAATCCAGTGGTGATCAAATACCATATATGAAAGCTCTATTTGTGTGGAAAAAGAATGATAAAAAATCTCAATTGGGTACAATATTGCATGCAGAGTAATTGCCAGTTAAAATAGCGCAGTGCGTTTCTTGTTTTTCTTTTCTTCTTAAAAGTAGCACAGTGCTGAATTGCAAAAAAAATGCCCTGGCCATGAAGGGGATAAAACCTTTCGGAGATCAAGTGGTTAAGGGGGGTCTTCCCATCACTTCCCATCACATGACTCTCAGTAAAGAACTGCAGAGAAATCTTCACAATGGGACATGGAGAGCAAATAATGTGTTGACAGGGGCTGTAATACTTTTCTGTTCTATTCAAAACAAAATAAAAAATTGTTTTGGCTATACACACATTTATCTAGTATAGAGGGTGGGGCTTATTATCATCCACCTTAAATGTCCTTTAATTTTAATCATAAATTAACCAAAATAAAGGCCTTCCTGCCCCCCCTCTCCTCCAGTACAGTGCTGCATTTTTTCCAACATTACAGTAATGTAGTGACAGTCCCACAGCTTTTAATTCACATTTATAGACTGAACATTACAAAAGCCTTACACAGAGGTAGGTTAAGCCATGCACACACATATGCACTGTGCGTTCCCATATAAAAAGGCAACGTGCATCCGTGAAGAGCAAACAGTGCAAAAGGCAATAAGAATCTAACTATTGGTAAAAATGTTATTAGCATTAAGTTAGTCACATTTGTACAGAAAGCTATTTGCAAATACACATTTAAAAGTATACATAATACTCACGCCAACCGAACTCCACAGCCTTCCTCGTCCACATCACCACTGCCTACATTGTCAGTGTTCACAGACTCTGTCTCGCTGGTCGGCATACTCACTGAAAGAAGAGATAATAATCAACATCTGTATATCCACCCTTTCTCCTTATTAAGCTGTACCATTCAAAGAGATACGTTTTGGCATCCTCAGCATCTCTGTTCTCTTTACAGAGAACATATAGCGATTTATATATATTAGACTAATCCTACACACAGTCAGCATTTTTCACAGAAAAGGTTATTGTTTCTACAAAATGATTTTGGGATTAGGACATGTTGTTAGTGTAGACGTAAACAGTGCTTAGAGGAGTTCTCCTTTAAATACACAGGCTGGTCTCCTCATGCCCCATATATAAAATTATAAGACAGATGAGGCTTTTCGTTTTACATTTGTTATATAATTCAGTATTATGTCTGAAGTAAAACCTATGCTAACCAGAATATCCTTTTCAACACTATACAGCCTTTTGAAGCTGTAATGGGGCTCATTACTCTAGACACCACAGACAGTATTCACTTCAGACACTTGGATAAGCACAACCCCTCTGTCTGGCAGCAGATGAGCAGTCTGTGTTTCACTGTCCCAGCGTTCAGACAACCCCATGTAGAATGCCTTCCAGTGCTGACTTTTCCATATAATCTTGTTAAATTTAGCGGAGAATTATTTTACGCTCTAGCGGATGCCAATAAAGGACGGGAGACAGGGCCTGAGAGAATTCGCATGCGGCACTCAACTTGTTTCTGCCCTCCTTCCCCAGACAAATGTCTCAGTTCATTAGGGGTGAGATATGTTTAGATCACAGAGTCAAGCAGGTCGCCCGTTTTGTGTCAATGGAGGGAGAGGTCAGGCTATAAATCACAGCGATGACACAAATGCGGAGGGATGCGGGACAAATGCCGGCAGTCACCGCATGCTGGCTGAATCATTTGTAGCTGGTCTGATAAGTCCTTAAAGGAGGCGTATCAAGATACACATTTTAATTAAAGTGTACCTTAACCCAACAGCAAAAATGTAATATATTGTGGTTTACCAGTCTATACAGTACATGCGGTGGCTGCATTCATTTTCTTTGTTCCCTTTATTTTTACTTGGAGATCCTGACAGTAACATATTTCCTGTCCTAGGCTGATAACACTCACTGTATTGTAAATATGGAAGAGCAGTGGTTTTACCCTAGGACAGGACTACAGAAACCCTCCCCCTTTCCACTGTAACATGGGGCGATGTGTTCTCTAGTCCACAGAAGAGAACAGGGCAGGGCTGATAGCACCACAGTGTACAAGAGCTCAGTAGAAAAAAGTATAATGGTATATTTAACAGTCCAAAAGGGAGCAAATAAGATGTATATGCACTTTAAAGAGATTTTAAACTTTTATTTTTTAAAGGAGGTCAACACTCACATACATTGTACATCTTCCTTATTAAAAACTGCTTGTTTTATTCTCGGACTCCGGGTCCCCAAGTCGCTGACTCCCTCTGCCTGTTTACGGGTGTCTTCTTAGCCTGCTGCACTAGTGCACATGGACTCGCAAACAGAGCTCTGTGCGTCCACAGACACACACACACAACTCCTGCCAAGTCAGGCTTCTGCTCCCTTTCCTCCTTCCTTCTAGCAGTTTGACTGACAGCAGCAACAGCCTATCCCTCTGTGACCCTCTGTACCCTCCTCTACCACCTGGAGGATGGGAAAGTGGAAGAGATTTATCCTGGAGCTGGCAGCAGTGACAAGAAACCAGGGGTAAAGCTGGCCATAGATTACTCATTTTGTTTTTCGATCAGCCAGCACCAACACAAGTGAGGTGGATAGAGGAATCCTCCCAACTGGGACTTGGTATTCTGACAGTGGGTCTCTCTGCACTGATCTTGATCTGCACTGCAGCAGGCTGATCAAGAAAATTTTTCAAAAAAGCCTATTAGACAAAAAGTCGATCTAACGACAGCAGAAAATACAAATTTACCCTCACACGGTGCTGGTGTTCATTGGAACACATGCAAAGTGCCCTCTGTTACTACTCGTATTTTCTATGCATATTAATCAAAGTGCCACCAGAGGTACTGAAAGAAAGACTCACTGTTCCGTGGCTTGTCTTCATCTATATCCTCGTCTTCATTCTCAGGATCGATGTCCTCGGCCTGTGTGATCCAGTCTAGATACCCTTTCAAGTCCTCCTCCAGCTGCTGCTTCTCTCTCAACTTCTGGAAGTCACCCCGGGCCTTGGCCTTCTCTCGCTCCTTCGAAAACTCTCTGGTGAGACAGGGACAGGTCAACCACAGGAACAGAAAGAAGGGTCAGATGAAGCCAAAGGAGAGGGACTTAGTAAAGTATACAACACATGTTGCATTCCCACTGTCTCTAGTGTTTTATTGTCAAAGAATGTCTCTCCATTAGAGTTGGACTTGATGTTCGATTCGAACATCAGCCGTCCGTGTGTTTGACGAACCCAGGAGTGGTAAGGACGTTCGGCAGGCTATTCGCCCGCCGCAACCCACAATGCACTGCGCCCTGACAGTGTATTGTGATTGGCCAAAGCAATGCATCAGCAATTCAGCAGCATAGATATTCCATTTACCAAATGTAACTACTGTGAAAGTGCAAGTCCCTACACTATATGAATACAGGTAGAAATGACACAGGATTCACATCAAGACTTAATGTAAAGCTCCAAGATGTGCATTGTGAACGAAGAAAGTTGGGCTTTAAAATGTTACTAAACCCAGGATCCTGCATTCACTATATCTGGTCTTCCACAGTACACAGAACATGGAAATGCAATTATTTTAGTAAATATAAACTGCTAAATACTTTTTCTTATCAGCAGTATATAGCAGTCTTGTGCCTTTTATCAGTGTCCAGCCGAGTACTGGTTAAAGCTTGTAGGAGGAGTTTTCATTCTCCTCTAACTATCCCATGAGACACATAACCCCTAACCCTTTGTCTGGACCTAGGCCAATCACATGCACCCTCTCCAGCAATACACACCAAACAGAGCATCTACAGGCTTGCCATTGTTTCTCTGTACTATGGCAGATGAATTGGGGACAGCAAAAGAAGGGAAGGATCAGATAAGACAGGAGCAAACAGCCTTTTTACTCAATTCGGAGGATTAGCCCCTTAGGTTCCACAGTGAGTATAACAAGCATGCTTTACTGCCTATACAGACTGATTTTACTGTTGTGGGTTAGTAACACTTTAATCTTTCTCTGGGTTTTGTAATCCCGGGGCCTGGGGTTTGTAGGTTCTTAAAAATCTTGGGTGGGATAGAACCTTCAATCCTGTGTCTGGATTCTGCACGACACCTGCAGCTGTGTAGGTTCATTATGAGCAAGGGCTGAGAGTAATGCTGGCCATACACTAGTTGAAAAATCTTTCAAACTCGTTTACAAATAACAAACACTTGATTATGAAAGCAAATGATATTGCTGTGATGTAATGACCGAATTTCAAACAATAAATCAGACAATGGACATAAATGAATAAGGTTTTTGTTTGTTTTGTCACATATGCGCAGTTCGAACAGTATGATTTTTACTGGGCTAGAAACATATTAACCTTTCAATTTATCATCCATTCGACAGAAGTTTTCCAAGGTTTTTCTTCATTTTTTGGCTCAAAAAATGTCAAAACCTATTTTCTATTAATGCCCAGTAACTGGACGAACAAATTAACCATCTATCCAAACAATTTTCGTCTAGTGTATGGCCACCATTACTCAGTGCAATTGCTGCCATTTGAAGAGAGAGTCATTGTGTGAATTTAGTGACTTGCTTGGTAGATGAGACCCTATGTGGGGTCATAGGACTGGGAAAGTCAAGACAGCTATGCAGGTCCCGAGAGAAACTGAGAAAGCTGAGTTGACTAATGAGTCCACAAAGGGGGGCAGGAGGGAGTCTTGTGTTCCTGTGAAGTGGGAGAGCCTGGGGTGCTGGGAAAACCCTATCCAGAGGCCAGAAATTAGGCCATGCAGTTAGTGGCTGCAAGTATAGGCTGAGTGAGCCTGAGGAGCCCATGGTCTGGTAGACCAGATTGAGCAGCGGTGCTGCTGACATGAAAGGAACAGGAAAGCCAGGTGGCTCGGCATTTTCATTATTTGTATTTGCTGGAGAAGATCCCCTGCGTCTGCAATCCATTTATCTTTATGAACTTTGCTTTTTGTTTAAAATTAATAAAAGTGAGCTGCTGTGCCCTTAAACACATATCGGACTGACGTGGACTCACTTTAAAACCGCTCACCACCCTTGAGCTAACCAACCCCCATATCACTCTATGTAATTTTGTTTCAATGTATTTGAACAACAAGAGGTCCACTTTCCTTCAAGAAATGACCAACGTTTTAACTGGCTTTCCTGAAAAAAAAATTCTCTGATGTTTTCAAAACTTTTTTCACATTCCTAACAGAGTTAAGGGAATCTTTCTTCAATAATCCCGTGTGATCTCAGAGAAATCAGCCTCTGTTTCAACAAGCAGCTCAGTTTGTGGTTTGGAAATGTCAAATTGTGATCAAAGCAAAAGAAGAGCAAGATAAAGGTTGGTGAGAGTAAATGGGAACAGATTCCCGAGCAGAATATCAATACCCGGACTGTGTGAGGCTGGGTGTTATGTTTTTGGCCTTAGAGGGAATGTCACGTTCATCTCACGGTCCTTCAGATGAAGATGCTGCAGGCATGGGACTGCTCTTTGCTCATGAGACCTGCCAGGAGGAGTCACAAGACCCTTTCATGGAGAGCTGGAGGTCAGAGGAGGACAACAGGATGAGCCAAGTCCTCTCTACTAAACAAGGTCAATGAAAGAAATTTAAAGCAGACTTAAAGCTAGAATCAGTAAAAAAAGTATGTCACATTGATCATAAGATCCTGAGATATCAGTGGCTGAAGTTATTTGCAAAGTTCAGTTGGGATTATAACTATGATGGTCAAACTTCCTTAACAAGCAGTGAAGACTTTGGCTGGCCATACATTATACAATTATCTGCAGATTTTTGGTTTAGATTTACCAAAAACCATATAATAG